AAGGGGAGAGGGATAGGAAGGAGGGAGGGGGAGAGGGAGAAGGAATGAGGGAGGGGAGTGGGAGAGGAGGGGAGGGGAGTGGGAGAGGGAGAAGGGAGGGAGGGAGAGGGAAGGAGGGAGTGGGAGTGGGAGAGGGAGGGAAGGAGGAGGAAGGGAGTGGATGAGAGAGAGAGAGCAAAAGAGAGACAGAGAGAACGAGAGCGATAGAGAAAGAGCGCGAGAACGAGAGAGAGAGAGAGAACGAGAGAGCGAGAGCGAGAGAGAGAGTAAAAGAGAATGAGAAAGCAAGAGAGAGAGAGAGAGAGGGTATATGATTGATGAAATAATATGTATAGTGAACGGTTGTGACCCACAAGATATTAACTGGTTTATTTACACCGGAATTATGCCAAAAAGCAACACATGTATATAGGCCTAAACATTTATCTACATACAACAGCAGCAAGGTAATAGTTCAGTCCATTGACCCTATGCTGCAAGTTTCCTATTCTTTTTCATCTCACTTGCTTCTCCTCTTCATCTTCTTCTATTTCTTTTCTTTTTCTTATTCTTACTATTATTTTTTCTGCTTCTTCTTCTTCTCCTTCCTCTTTTTCTTTTTCTTCTTCTCTTCTTCTCCCTCCTCCTCTTCTTCTTCTTCTTCTCGTCTCCTCCTCCTCCTCCTCCTCCTCTCCTCTCCTCCGCCTCTCTCTTCTCCTCTTTCTCCTTACCTCCTCCTTTTATCGTCTTCTTATTATTTTTTCTTCTATTCATCTTCTTTTTTCCTCCTCCTTCCTCTCCGCTCCCCTCTCCTCATCTTTATCCTTCACCTCCTCCTTTCATTGTCTTTTTCTTCCTCCTCCACGATCTCCTCTTACTACCACCCACCCCTCTCCTCCTCTTTCTCCTTCTTCTTCTTCTTCTTCTTCCTCCTCCTCCTCCTCCTCCGCTTCCCTCTCCTCCTCTTTCTCCTTCACCTCCTCCTTTCATCGTCTTCTTCTCCTTCTTCCCCTTCGTCCCACGGCCAACCCGTCCTTCTTGGCAGCCCAAAGACCATTAGTTCTACTTACTCAAGTTGGCTCTTCCTGAAATGACCCTTATGGACAGAGGAAATAAAACAGACAATAAAAATGCGAGAAGCCTTTCACGGAATTAGAAAAAAGACGATGAGTAAAAAGAGGAAGAAGATGACAGGGAAGAAGGAAGAAGAAAGAAAAGAAGGAATAGATGAGGAAGAGCAATAATAATGATAAGACGTAGAATACAGAGAGGAATAGGATAGAGAGAGGGAGGGAGAGAGGAGAGAGAGAGAGAGAGAAGAGAGAGAGAGAGAGAAGAGAGAGAGAGAGAGAGAGAGAGAGAGAGAGAGAGAGAGAGAGAGAGAGAGAGAGAGAGAAGAGTAGAAAAAGGAGAGACAGAAGAAGAGATGAAGAAAAAAATCACAGGAAATAGCAGAAAACAGAAAAAAAAAACGATTATGAATAATTACAAAGAGAGAGAGAAGGAAAGTAAGGAGACAGATTAATAAGTCCTATTATATTTAGTGGTTCGCGTAATTTCTCTCTTTTATCAATGAAAGCCCCACACCTCCCCAAAACATTCTCTACTCTTCCCTCCCAGCAGAAAAGAATGAAAAAATTAATAGACATTTCATCAACCCATCTCCTTTCCTCAATCCCTCTGCTCCCTCTCCCTCCCTCCCTCCTCTCCCTCCCTCCTCCCCTCTCCTCCACCCATTCACAAAACAATAATTATACTAACACATCTCCCCAACTCCCCCCCCTTTCCACTCACCCACTCTTTAAACAATCTCCTTACCCCCCCCCTCACAACACCAGACTCCCTCTTCACCCACCCGCATTCTACCGCCTCTCTCGCCTTCGAAACTAGTGCGCCCTTAGAGTTACCACCTTGAAATGTTTATTTCCTTCCCATTCTTTCCTTCTCCTCTTATTCCCGCCATTTTTTTCTTTAACAAAAATATATATCGGATGGAAAATCGTGACTTCGGGAAATTTTCGAACATCGAAGAGCTCGCCACGATGATCCACCGAAAGGAAATGATTTAACGACGACAAATATTGTAAAGCATTTTCCTTTTGTAAATAATCTTACGTTATCAGGACAGACAGACGTAAACAAGGGAGTGTAAACAGTCTTGCGATATGCAAATTACGGGACACGGGGGTTGCCGGTGAGTATTTGGTTGCGATGAATCGTAGGTCTTGGTAATTAATGCGTGTGTGTGTGGGTGGTGTGTGTGTGTATGTGTGTGTGTGTGTGGTGTGTGTGTGTGTGTGTGTGTGTGTGATTATGGCGTACTTGAGTGTGTGTTGGAGGGAAAAAAACAAAGTGGATAAAGAGAAGAATAATCTTCTCTATCTCCTCTCTCCTTCTCATCTCTCTCTCGTCTCTCTTCTCTCTTCTCGTCGTCTCCCTCTCTCTTCCTCTCCGATCGATCATCTCTCTCTCGTGTCCGTCATCTCGTCTCTCCTTCTCTCGTTCCTCCCGGTACGTCGTGTTTTCTCTCTTCCTGCTCTTCTTCTCCTCTCTCTCTCTCTCTCTCTCTCTCGTCTCTCTCTCTCTCTCTCCTCTCTTCCTTCCCTCCTCTCCTCTCCTCCTCCTCTCCTCTTTCATTTTCAACAGAGAGATGGGAAGTGGGATAGAGAACATCGAGGAACCAGAGAGAGACAGGATACAAGGAATGGAAAGAGAGAGAGAAAGAGACGGGGGGAGGGGGGAGGGGAGAAGAGAGGGGGGGGAGGGAGGGAAAGAGGAGAGAGAAATCTGCCAAATAAATGAATAATGAAATACAAAGCCACACAAAATCGATTCAATAACAAAAAAAAAACACAAAAAATCATCAACAAAGAAAAAGAATAGACAATAAATCAGATAAAAGAAAGACAAAGACAGCGAGGGAGAGACGAGGCAAGGGATCAGTAACACAGAGTAATAAGAAGCAGCATTTTCTTCTTCCGCAAAGGCTGAGCAAAGGAAAGAAATAATGATAATAATAATAACAAAAAAAATATGATAATGATAATGATGATAATAATGATAATGATTATGATAGTAATAATAATAATGATAATGATAATAACAAAAAATGATAATGAATTATATAATGATAATGATAATAGTAATAATAATGATAACAATAACAATAATAATAATAATAGTAATAATAGTAATAATAATAATAATAGTAATAATAATAGTAATAATAATAATAACAAAATTAACAATAATAACAATAATGATAATAATAATGAAAAAAATAATAATGATAATAATAATGAAAAAATAATAATGATAATAATAAATGAAAAAATAATAAGATTAGATAATAATCATAAAATAGAAATTAAAAAAAAGTAAATGGAAATCACCGACGAAGAAATGAGGAAATGAATAGAGATAAATCATATAGAAAGAAGAATAAATAGAGAAAAGACGATAATTCCTCGCAACGTGAAAGCTGGAAGAGAAACGAGAGAGAAGAGCAACTCGGTGGGGAAGGGATGTCGTTGGGAAAATAATTATGAAGGAGAAAGGAGATACAGGAAAGGGAAAACAAAATCGGGAAAATGGAAAAATACAGAAAAATGAAAAAAAAACACAGAAATGAAAACAAACTCAGAAAATAATAATAAAACGCAGGATAGAAACTGAAAACAAAATCAAGAAAATGAAGAATGAAAAAATCAAGAAATGAAAAACAAAATCAAGGGGAAAAAAAGGAAAATTAATGAATCAAGGAATTTTTTATCAGGAAAATGAAAAAAAAATACGGAAAATGAACAAAAATCCGGAAAAGAATACAGGAAATGAAAAGAAATCAGGATACTGGGAAATGAAAAGAACAGAAAATCAGAAAAAAAAATACTGGAAAAAAAAATAGGAAAATTTATGAATACAGTAAGTGAAGAAAATCAGGGAAATTAAGATAAGAGATAAACAGGAAAATAAAAAAAAAACAGGAAAAAGACAATTTCCCTCTTAGGCGAAAGAGAAAAACAGGAAGAGAGGGTTTAGATTAATTTACATTAATTAGGAATAGAAATTAATAGAAAACATACATTGAAAGGTAGAAATTTAAGGAAAAGAGCCACAAAGAAAGAAATCAAATGATAAAAAAATGGAAGAAAATGAAGTAAGATAAGGTAAAAAAAAGAAAAAGAAAAAAAAAAAGAAAAAGAAAAAAAAAAAAAAAAAAAAAAAAAAAAAAAAAAAAAAAAAATATATATATAATATATATATATATATATATATAATATATATATATATATATTATATATGTATATATATATATGTATATAATATATATATATATATATATATATATATATATAATTATATTAATATATATACATATATNCATTACAGATAAAAAAACATTCCACGGATCAATATCACTAAATTCACATTTTCATCTTTGGACAATCTAATAAATTTGGTATCATTACCAATTCGTTGAGGATCTACGAAAGGCTAATGGATTCTGCAGGGCAGGGAATTCTAGAATAAAACGATGCATTATCAGTTCACTGAAATCATTCACAGATCTAAAATCAACAAAAAATGCATTCTGCAATTACATCCACAAATATCTACAAAAAAATAATACTTCGTTCCACAACACAATAGCGGCTCTTAATCGAAAAAGTCATGGCCACAATTGTCACTTCTTTAATACATATCGTCAGTGTTACACCATTCCACATGCTACATTCTTACGCTAAATTAGTACTTTAGTCCATCACAATACTCATGCACATGCAGTATACAAACGAAGCATGCATAAGCGAGCGAGCAGGCACTTGGTGGTTTATCACATAACCAAAAAAGTGCAGCGTGCTTGGGGACGTTATCATGCAGTGTAGACGCAAGTTTCCACCTTGGAAGCTTGCAGAATGGAGAACTGTCTTGGTGTTATCGCGATAAATTCAAGATGAAAGTCAAAACGATTTCAGAAAATGTGTGCACATACCACTAAAGCACTACAAGACAGTTTTCCATTATACAGTCATGGCTTGTAGGCCAATGAGGAAAAATACAAAGGGCAAGATGAGGGAGGGGAAGAGGAGTTTGGGCGGGGACGTGGGATGACTAGCTTGGGCGTCAATGGGCGCGAGAGGCTGCACAGCAGGCGGGGGGCGGGGGCGGTACCAGGTGAGTCTGGAGGCCGACTGCGACCGCGCCACCTGGTGCCCTGGAGGCCGTGGCAGGTGAGATGTGTGGGCGGAGGGCGGCCGTTGAGGGTGGTACGCGGCCGGCACGTTGCTGTGGGTGTGGGAAGACCTCAAGAAGCGGCCGGAGCCTCGCGCAGTGCGGCCGACATTGAGTCCAGAGACGTAGTCACTCAGATCAGCCTCGGACAAGCTGGACTCCTCGTCGTCGTCGTCCTGATGGGTGTAGGGGAGAGCTTCGTACCGGGAGGGATACCAGGGGAGGAGGGCATGAAGTGTATGGTGGGGCAGAAGTGAACCAACACCAGGAAGGTGCAAAATGTATTTTTTCTATATGCTTTTATGCACCGACATCCATCCATACATACCAAGGCAAGCCATATTATTAGTGACGTCTAACAACAGGGCACATGAAAGGACTATGATTATGATATGGGATACTACATACATTCGCACAGTCTACTGGAGGGTAAGAACATCTATTGCAAGGGCTGGGGGTCTGCTGCTGCCGTATGTAATAGCAAATCAACTATTTTGTTCCTATATACTATATAACCTTCCTCATAAATTAGTAATATTTATCATCTTCTTATATCAATACTATTCACTGCTAAAAAACATTAGCTTAAAAGGAGCCTACATTTCTAAACTTCTGAATCTACAGCAGTGTACCCTAAAACACTAATACAGAGAAAATTGGTTTACTACTACTATAACTAGCTTAAATTTCTTTTTGTTAATATACAATTTAATTTCATAGGGATCTAGGTACATGAATTTGGGAATTTTAAAACTAACCAACGTTACATACGGTTACTACAACAATTTCAAATCACTAAAGTTTGTATGTAAAATTCATCAGGGGACCTAACCAAAAATTAATAATTATTTTTCTTACATATATTCCCCTCTGCAATGAGTTACCGTGGAAGCTCGCATGAATACCGCTTTCCAATCACACTTGGCCAATATCAGTGTCCATTCACACTTTTGACTTTACTGGACTTGCAACACGCATTCGATGAATGATTCATACGTCAGTCAGTAAGCTAACACTAAGAGATCAGTACATGACAGTAAAGGCGGTTGCCGGTTATAGCTTGCACGCTAATCCTGCCATCCGTCCAAGTCGAGATAACATACGGCTGCTCTCGGGACAATGCAGGATCAGGTTAACACTGAAACTTCTATTGTCCAAAGGCTCAGAAAAAAGTTAGGGGAAGTTTCACGCGCCACGATCTCTCGAGAGAGTGGCCGCAGGAAAGAACATGATGCCAAGAAAGTGTGAGTACATCTCTATTATATATATACACAGAAGGACACCCTGTAGACAACCACATTGTCATGACGGGCTAACAACTATTATGTTCGGCGCCGCTCAATGAACATGTAGACCATGGCAGCCATTCACAGTCAAAAACCGAGCAGGGCATGCATACCTGGTCTCGGCCCAATATTATCTACCTAACTTTCCTTTTAGGCCCACACAGACATTGTCCTATGACATACGCCAAACATCATGAAGGTTCGGTGCATACCCCAGCCTTAACCCCACAAGGTGAACCTTCTAGAATGAAGATGATCCCATTCACCCAACGCTGAAAGGATTCTGTACAAGGGTGCTTCACATGCTCGGTGGAGAGTAAGAGTGGAGGGGGAGGGGCAGCAAAGAGGCGGAAGTTGATTCTTGTGCTCAACTGGCCGAGTGTCTATCTGTTGGTAAAACGCGCCCATGGCCGTGGAAGTTACACTTCCAATTGGTGTGATTGTTGGTGAAGTGAGGGGTGGGCGGGCGTGAATATGGTGGCGGCGCTCATGCCTCGTGGAGGTGGTGGGTGCTGAACGGGCGTGCCTTACGGGCGTGTAGCGGACTATGGTTGACTGGAAGCAATACTCACAAATCTGGAGGGGGGTGGCATGGCATTCTGGTCCTGTGGGGCCAAGTCTGGGTTGAGGGCAAAAACTGCATCAAACTCAATCTGTGGGATATAACTTAACGTGAATCATGTTCATTGGAACAAATGTAGAAAAGGTAGGAATGAGTATGAATATCTTCACACAGCGTAAGAGATGTATTTGACCCATTTCATTCTAATTCGTACATTTTTTTAAACGTTTTAGACTCACTTATATCAAAATCATGAAGTTTAATATAACAGCGTACATCCACTTAATCACCCGCTCAACTCAACAAACAATCCCAATTATTCAAAAAAGAAAGAAAATCCCCCATTTTACCTCCTTTCCTTTAGTCTCCCCCTTCTCGAACCACTCGACTGTGACACTCCTGGTGGCGGGGTTGACGGCAGAACAGGTCGCCGAGTGGACG